CCAAAAAATCCCTCAAAAATCTCAAAAAAATCCCAAAAAACCCCCCAAAATTCCCCCAAAAATCCACAAAAAATCCCCAAAAATTCCTTCTAAAATCCCAAAAAATCTCCAAAAAATCCCCCAAAAAACCCTCAAAAATTCAAAAAAAACCCAAAAAAAATCCCCAAAAATTCCCAAAAAAACCCTCAAAAATTCAAAAAAAATCCCCAAAAAACTCAAAAAAACCCCTCAGAAATTCAAAAAAATTCCCCAAAAATTCCCAAAAAATCCCCAAAAATTCCACAAAAAATCCCAAAAATTCCCCCAAAAATCCACAAAAATTCCCCAAAAAATCTCCCAAAAATCCCCCCAAAACCCCAAAAAATTCCAAAAAAAAACCCCAAAAAAACCCTAAAAAATTCCAAAAAATCCCTTAAAAAACCCCTAAAAAACTCCAAAAAAATTCCAAAAAAATTCCAAAAAATCCCCCTCCAAAATTCCCATTTTCCAGCGCCACCCCCCCTGTCCAAAGCAGCAATTCCAGGTTTTTTCCTTGCTTGCTAAAAATTCACCAAAATTCCCAAAAAATAACCAAAAAATCCCTCAAAAATCTCAAAAAAATCCCCAAAAAAACCCCCAAAATTCCTCCCAAAATCCCAAAAAATCTCCAAAAAATCCCCCAAAAAACCCCCAAAATTCCTCCCAAAATCCCAAAAAATCTCCAAAAAATCCCCCAAAAAACCCCCAAAATTCCTCCCAAAATCCCAAAAAATCTCCAAAAAATCCCCCAAAAAACCCCCAAAATTCCTCCCAAAATCCCAAAAAATCTCCAAAAAATCCCCCAAAAAAACCCCAAAAATTCCCCCAAAAATCCACAAAAATTCCCCAAAAAATCTCCCAAAAATCCCCCCAAAACCCAAAAAAATTCCAAAAAAAAACCCCCAAAAAACCCTAAAAAATTCCAAAAAATCCCTTAAAAAACCCCTAAAAAACTCCAAAAAAATTCCAAAAAAATTCCAAAAAATCCCCCTCCAAAATTCCCATTTTCCAGCGCCACCCCCCCTGTCCAAAGCAGCAATTCCAGGTTTTT